TTCAGCGATCGATGACAAAGCAGCAGGCTGGTGCATGGCTGCAAGAGTGAATTTTGCAATGAGCTCAGGCTGGGCTCTGGCTGCAGACTCTGAGCTGCAGGCTCCTGGTAGCCTGGTTTTGGCAGAGAGCTCTGAGGGGTTGGGTGGGAGAAATGCAAAAGCGTGCTGGAGCATCGGGAACCCCCCCGGGCTGGGGGACTGAGGAACAAAGGGGTTCCCTTCCTGGGGGACCCCGCTGTGGGTGCAGGACCTGCAGCTGGGAGACAGGGAGGCATCTGCCGCGAGGGATGCTCTGCAGAACAGAGGCTGGGGGTACCTGGGAGGGGAACCTGCTTAAAATGGAGCGGTTTGCGCCACAGAGGTTTTTTTGCAGAGAGTTGCCAGGCTGTGAGAAGTGAGATGGCTTCAGCGCAGCCCGTTAGCCCCTGGGTTCCTCTGCCTTGCTCTTGTCAGGGCGGGTTGGCCAGCTCTGAGCTTTGTGCTGCCCCTTCTAATCCCGCTGGAAAGGATCTTGGTGACGTTGGGCAAGGAGCCTTCATGTCACTGAAGCTGCATCAGTGGCTGCAGCATGCAGGCACCCAGCTTTCCCTTCTCCGTCAACACATCCCTGGATCCCCTGTGTCCCTGTTCTCAGAAAAGCTGTCTCCTCTTCAGCCAGCTCTTCGGGGGAGTGCATACCCAAATCAGCCAGTGACTTCTCCAGGCAGCGCTGCTCCTCAGCCTCACCATGCTTCCCTCATCTGCTAGGGCAAGTCTTGGGTGACAAGGGCAAGTCTGCTGGCGCCTGGGCGTTGGAGCTCAGTGTCTGCCTCCGCATCCATCTCAGAAGGGCAAGATGTAACAGCAAGTGGTAAGGCATTGCATTTAGTCCAGCCGGTCTCCCTGCTGCCCGCTTGCCAACGAAGGGTCTGTCTCCCAGTCACCCTGCTGTACTGCTTCACCTCCCAGGTCTTGGGGAGGCTGCAAATACACCCTTCCACCACATCAGTCCCCTTTTGGAAATCATCTCTTGCTGGCAAGCCTGGAGCGGTCAACGCCTGCAGGCAGTGTAAGGCTCCTCTTGGCTTTGCCCCCAGTTCTGTTCTTCTGCTCTTCGTGCCTTGCGTGTCTCGGTCAGCATCTCTTGCCCTTCAAAGCCAGCTTGTCCTCCTGGATCTCAAGTGCTAGATTCCAAACGGCAATTTGAAGAGAAAATCCCTTAAAATCTCACTCTGTTATGAATCTGTCTTGTCATCTGCCCTTACTCTCCCTACCAGACCTGGGTGTTGGCTTAAATAAGAGGGTCCCTTTGAGGACAGAAGCTTACCCTCTCTGCATTTTGTTCTTGTTACTACTGGCACAGATTCAGACTGGGGCCCAGCCCCCATGGCCCTGGGATTTCCTTGCTTAGTGATGACATTTGGCACTTGTGCTTCTCTCTCCAAGGGCCTCATGTCAGCCAAGGCCAACGCTGAGGGTCCTTGTGGCTCTGGGGAGGCAATGGCGCCTGCTTGTATGTCCTGGTGAATCAGATGTTCAGTCAGTGAGGCTGCAATGGGTCATTAGTGAGGAATGTGGTCCGCTTGTCCTTCCCAACATGTTTGAAATCTCCTACACGTTGCTTAAATTAGGCTGCGATGGCTCGTCTTTCTATCTCCAGCCTCTGAGGTGCCTTGGCCAGATGGATTTATCTAAGATTTGGCAGGCCTTTTAGCTCCCTGGGGCAAAGACAGTCCTCAGAATAGGGACAGATTAGTAGGGTCTCTGTGCCCCTGTTCTTTAGCACCTGCAGCAGAATTCTGCTTTCAGGCACCTTGTCCTTGGCTTTTCCTGGGCCTTTTCGTAAGATTGCCTCAACTCGTTCCCCTGGCCCCATTTTTCACCCATGAAATCTTATTCTGGAGGTGATCATAGAATCATAGAATCGTTTTGGTTGGAAAAGACCTTTAAGATCATCAAGTCCAACCGTTAACCCAACCGTGCCATCCCACCACTAAACCATGGCCCTAAGCGCCTCATCGACCTGTCTTTTAAATACCCCCAGGGACGGGGACTCGACCACCTCCCTGGGCAGCCCATTCCAGAGCCTGACAACCCTTTCGGTGAAGAAGTTTTTCCTAATGTCCAACCTAGACCTGCCCTGGCGCAACTTCAGACCATTCCCCCTCATCCCATTGCCCGTTCCCAGGGAGAAGAGGCCGACCCCCCCCGGCTCCCCCCTCCTGTCAGGCAGTTGTAGAGGGCGATGAGGGCTCCCCTCAGCCTCCTCT